TAAAATTGTACAGTGGCATTATGTGCCGTAATGTGCACCTCTGCCTACCTCTTCGGGGGTAAAAGGCGTGATGTTATGAAAGCAAGAAATTGACTAAAATTAACATAACATCATAACATCACGCCATTTATCCCCGAAGGGGTAGGCAGAAGTGCACACATTTACTAAAATTATTTCTCAAAAATGTTAGTTCCCAATCTAATATTTAGTAGTTGTATATACGGGAACACAGGGAACACTCCAGTAATGCTAGAAATGATTTTTTTTTAATTTATGCATGTTCAAGTGTTCAGGATTTCTTGTACATATGTATTCATAGTTCGTACCTACTTATTTTAAAATTTAGGTAGTTCAATGAAAGTATTAAACCCAATTGGGTACTTTCCTTAATCAAAAATAAATTATTTCGACTGTTCAATACAATAAAATATTAAACAATACTCACACTTTCATTAATTGATTTTATGACCAACTTAAGTTTAGTATTTTTCCAGCAAATTTTTGGAAAATAAATAAGTATGCTGTTTGGCGCTAAAAAAAACGTGACGTGACGTCACATTAGACAATCTCGTACAGTCAAATTCATAGAAAACTATCGTTTTTGACATTTCAAAAACAGTATTGAATTTAACTAGTTGGCAAGTACTCAATTCAGCAATAAAAAAATGCATGAATTTATACCTACGCACTATTTTTTTTTGTGATCAGCAGATCAGCTAAATTGAAAACTAGTCATTCAAAATATTTATTAATAGGCAGTTAATTTTAAATCTAGTACAAAAGTAGGCAACGCACATAAGTAGTAATCACTTTCGATTTTCAATCGTTTCACCGTTAAAAATAGCGGTAAGTTCGTAAACTTTCTCCGCAATGTTGCAATATTAAAAAATCATGTGTTAAGAATTTGGCGGCAATTGGTTTACTAGTTTGTTTCCTGCCAGTTCGACCGCCTGCCATTGCCCTAGATTCTCGATACGGTGTTGTTGACACGACATTCCCACCATAGAGATAGTCCGTCACCTACTTAGATTAATCAACCATTGATAAATAGTTGCGTTTGATCCTTTGATCATGCTTTTTTACGTTATCAGTCAAGATTTCCGTCTGCGATATTGAAAATAGGTAAATTATTTTGACGTGGTACGAAAAAAACATTTCTTATGTTATAATATAATAACTATTAATAGTAGTTTAGTTAGATTATATTTTGCTCCATATGTTGCTGTGCCCTAGCCGGGTTTCATGTTGAAACTGTACCTCATGTAACACCAACAATTGTACACATGATATGCAATAAAAAATTTTGAAGTTGAATTTGAATTACTTAGTTGCAAGTTTTAATGTTGAGGCTGCGGTTTTTTATTTGGTCTAATTTTTTGACCATAGAAAATCAGTCCAAAAAGTACCTAATTTTCTTGTTTATTTTTCAGGAGCTTTTACTGGATCAAC